GTGTGTGTGTGTGTGTGTGTGTGTGTGTGTGTGTGTGTGTGTGTGTGGTATTATAGTTATTATTAATTTGGTTTATTGGCGAAATACCAAATTGGTGTATCGCCAGTAGAAATAAACGTGCGCGCACACACGCACAAGAGTAACAGATCGAAAATATCTTCCACTTCGCATGCATATGTGTAAAATATAGAATTCTATTCGTAGACAATTAAATGGTTGTAATTATTAAGATCGATATTAATTTCGACTACGAGTCGTCAGAGTTCGACTGTTGAACGTAATAACGTTAACTCATAGGCTTTTCGCGAAGACCAGGGTTTTTCGGTAACGTCGCATAACGCAGTGAAACCGTCCGAGACGTGACCGCCACTAGGGACCGAATAGATTAATACTATTTCGTTTCAGACATGTTTCCGGATCAACAAGCGAGAAATGGGCCGAACTAAAATATTCGCCTTGGAGACAGGTAATACGCGGTTTCGCTATGTATTACGCAGCGTTTCTCAACCGTACCACTAATAGTACGCGGAAAGCTCATAGGAGGTACGCTGAAAGCTTATAAATGGTACACGAAGAAAATATAAACACGAATGTTGTTACCTCCATCGCGTATAGCGTACCTATACATTTTTCGATAGGTAGATAACCAAAAAAAAAAATTTACACGTCGGGTCAAGAGATTGATACACGGTGAACATTTTTAGAATGTGTACGCGGTACGAGAACCGCTGAGAATTGAAACTCAAATAATTTATATACAACAACGTAGACGAAATAACACACGCGTGTACTATGTGCGGCACGTAGTGCTCTGCACGGTCCGTAATTTTAGAGACCGGACCGGACTGAAAATGTTAGCAAATGTCCGAAGTTGGGCCGAACCGAACTGAACATTTAAAATAATCAATTAAAGCGGACCGGGACCGAACCACCGGTTCCAAAAAACGAATTTCAGACTGTAATAGTTTACGGACCGGAATGGACCGAAAATTTAATTTTATATTTTTATAATTTGATAGAGCTGACAAAGGATAGGAACTAAAAAATTTCTAATCGTGAAAGTTTTAAATTACATAAAATAATTGGTAATTGGTACAGATTTAAACTGCTCGTAGAATATTACAAAACTGTACAAAACTAATAATATATCCATCCATGTCACCCGCGCCACAGTGACAATAATTGCAACCGTTAATCTTGAAAATATTTTCGATAGTAATTATTAATATGTACCATGAACAATGGAGTGTTTAAACGCAGACACTGCAAGCACGAGCCTACAGCAACAAACTTAAACAATGAATTTCGTTATTAATTACCAATAAAAATTGTTTAAACTTAAAGAAATTGCGTTCAAGTATTTCAATAAAATTTGTTTTCTAAGCTTAATTAAATATATATATATATATAATAGTAGGTAATTTAATGATAATTCAGTTAGTGCAGTATATAATTTTAGTTAGTGAAAATTTCGTATAGGCCTACACACAGAAAACATGTAAATACGCCCTGAACATGATCAGCTCTAAGATTTACATATGCCTAAAAAGTACATAAATTAACTAATTCTATAAATAACGTCTTTAAAATGTAAGGTCATTTTAAACAGGCTGATCCGGACCAAACCGATCCGTTCACATCCTGGAAACCGGAGCCAACTGAAATAATTTCAGTTTTAACCGAGACCAGACCTAGATCTTTCGTAAAAATACGAGAGTCGGAGCAAAACGATTTTCATCAGTTTTTCTACGATAAGACCGGACCGTGCGGATCAAGAAGATACTGTGTCGGACGGTTACGAGAGTAGTTACGTGTAGTTAAGCGCCTTCACCTTTCTCTTTCCAGGAACAGGAGGTCGGTGCGCACGGTCACCGGCGCGGTGGCCGAAGACCATTGGTCCTGGGTGATCGCGTCCGCCTGCGGCATGTCGCCCATCATCATTTCCCCGTCGGCGGGTTCGTCCTCCTGGGGGGGCGCTCCACCGATGTTGGACAGGCCGGCCTCGAGGAAGGCCAGATCGCGGTCGGTCATGGCGGCCAGCCTCCTGCAAAGTGCCGCGTCGACGTTCTGCAGGTTGCGAATCTCGGGCACGCCGACGAAGGTGCCGGACGCGTTCTCCTCGTTCGGTGCCGGTTCGCCGTCGTCATCGTTGACCGGCACCGCCACCGATTCGTCTACGGCCGCGGGCCGGCCGACCGCCGCAGCCGTCCACCACGCGGCCAACACGGCCACGACGAGCAGCCACCGGGATTCGGGAAGCGACATTCGGTACGTCGGTTATTCGGGGTGGTACGGCGAGCACGTGGCACGTGGGAGGTGAGCTTGTTCGGAGACCACGAGTACGTCGTTCACGAGGGAGTTACGGCGACGTTTCCCGGAGGGGTGAACGTACGAGGTGGACGCGAAAAAAAAAAAATAAAATAACAATAATAATAAAAACAAACGCGCAACAGGTGTGCGTATGTGCGCGAGTTTATGTATGTATGTGAATACGGCAACGCGTATTTACTTATGCACGGCGATGATCGCGACGATTGTACGCGTTAAGTTAATGGTGACGAGATGTCGGGGCAACAAAACTTCACGCACGTCCGGCGAGTGCGACTTAGACGGTTGCACGCGGCGTTCTGGGGCACTTGACGTCGTTCCGGCGCTTCGAGTCGTCGTCGTTGGAACAGCCGAGACCGTGGCGGCCGGGTTTTGTACCCCGTGGGCGCGAGCATTGGCGTGCGTGCGCGCACGTCCGTCCGTTCGGTTGTTTACGTGTACACGTTTTCTGCGTACCGCGACGCCGCCTCCGCCCCCGCTGCCGCCGTCGCACCGTCACCACCACCACCACCACCACCACCACCACCACCACCCTTGCACACTCGGCGGCGCGCGACGCTTGCTTACTCTCGCGCGCCGCTCAATTTTCCCTTCTTCTCTTTCCGCGTTTCCTTTTTGTCTCCTTCTTGTCTTCTTATTCTTCATCTTCATCTTCTTCTTCTTCTTCTTCTTCTTCTTCTTCTTCTTCTTCTCCTTTTTTTTTTCACCTCCTCCTGCATACGCTCCTCCGTATATTCTGCGCACCACGATCACTGGCCGTTCGTCTCATCGTTTTCTTTCCGTGGTTCCGATATATATTTTTAACATACCGATGATGCACTCGCCCGCGTACATAATTCCACCACGTACATAGTGATATGAAAATCCAATTCGCGTTAGTTTATAAAACCTAGGTGATGTACTGATCATAGGATGGTAAATACTCGATAGCATATTGAGAATAGCGGCGAAAATGTTTTCAATCGCACGAAATAAACAGGGCGTGATCAGGTAGATCTAAGATTTGCTAAGCGCAGACACCATTGGAGTACTTCACTCTATTGTTGTGCTTTTTGGTTTTGGAGAAAAAATTACTGACCCTTTCCTCTCGTTCACAGAATTTCCTTCCGGTTACGCCACTTGGTATACGCGCATTTATTAAATTATACATAATTAACGGATCGAGTCTATATAATATAGTATACGGTTTGTTAAAATGTTGAACGCTGACCGTATGGCGTCTAGGAAGTATGATATTATGCTTGCGTGTGCGTCTATATTCGCTTGAACTGTTCGTCGATCTGCACACCCATCATGACCACTGCATTGTACGTAAACGGAAACAAATTATCGTTGATTATTATACGTACGCTGATTCTGTATGAGTATATATCTATGGTATTCGTTACGAAACGCGTATGTGTACATGCGGAAAGAAGTACTTTTATTAATATATATATATATATATATACCTTTACGCAGCATCCTTCCGATCCTTTGGACGGCACAGACCAGTAAATGCCTTCGATATTTCCACTGAAAAGATGATCGAACGAGAGATCATTGGGGACAACGATTTCGATCGATTTTCCGACCATACCATACATCTCTGAGACAAACTCAAAACTCGTGCAGAGATGATGATGACGATCGTGTTGTTCGCGAAGGTTACATCAGTGTATCGGTTGGCGAGAACAAAATATAATACGTATTATTACGTTTGGTCGCGGGTATAAGACAGAGTTTCATCAGACTTGTGTCATCAAAAATACGGTTTGTGGTGCAGAGTTGTCTACGACGCATTCTGTTCGGTTTCAATAAAATTCGCTTCCGGATTCTTGTAAAAATGTTCGTCAAATAATTGCATATACTGGACACGTCATCCTATTTCAGTGACGGCAGTTATTTTTAATTTTTTTTTCCCCCATTTCAGTGAAAATTTTTACACTACAAGTAAAATATGTGCCGTATAAAAAAAAAAATCGATTTAATAATCAATCTACAATAATTAGAACAATTTATACGTGTAAACAACTACTACAACAGTAGGTATATTTATCCGTATAGATAGACAGTACATCGAAATATTTTAATCATTTGATTCATATATTAGGTATGAAATTAAATAACATCATAGTCACAAGTATTTTGCATAATATGATAATATTACTATTGCACTTGGATCGAAATAAGAACACGATATTTTTTCCGGCATAACAGAAATCTACATTATGTAAAATGCACAATAGTTCGATAGAAACAAATGATAACTTCGTGATGACATAATACATAAGCCATTTGGAGTCGATTACGTTTCCATAGTACATTATGTTTACGTACTCCATTCGAACTTTAAAATAAAATTACTACATTAGTATACTTCGAATGTTGATGACCAAGCAATTTAAATATAAAATAACATTTGAATAAATAAATTATAGGTAAAAATATAAATGATTCAAGATTAATTTAATGATTAATTTTATTATAAAATAATCTATATTTACAGTTGAAACTATAGTGAAAATTATTGTTAAAATATATTATTTGCTGACGAAGTATCTCTTGTTTTATTATTATTAATATCAATGTTTTTAATATAGTTGCAATAATGGTGAATTATAATTCACCATTATATTATTAAAACAAAAAAACTGCCTCGTCGTATTTACATAATAAACTTCCCACGTTTTTTTCAACCATGTGGACTACTGTCTCGATAGATTTCCTTTAAATTATTTTTAAATATTATCATACGTATAGTTATTGTTACTGAATATATGTTTTATTTCACTGATTAATAATAGTTAAGATACTAATTATGTAAGCTATATACTTAAGCTTATAAAAATCTTATACATATACGATGATGATTAAGTGATAAATAAATTGGACTTTTTAAAAATTTTCATCACATATTTCATGCATGTTCTGCATATTTTTGCACATCTTAATAAAATAACCGTACAAATATACACCTAAAAACCCAAAAAGGTGTTGAGTAAAAAAAACTGATTATATGTAGGTACGTGTAGGTTACTAAACTTCCATAAGTTGGTTGTACGAGTTTTATATTGGAGACGTGGCTTTATCTTATCTTATTGATAAAATACCGAAAACAACATAAATAAGTACATTATTACAACCACTGCTACATTTATACAATTGTTGGTAAGAATTATGTTATAGTCAAGTTAACCTATCTGCGCTGAGCATCTCCATATGGGGGTACACATATATTGCTTTTTTTACAACACGCTTGGAGAAATGTGTATTGATATTTTTCATGTGTTATTATTACATGAGTTTGTATGTTATCTCCTCTTCATTTTGATATAATATTTAGCAGTTAATTCGTAAACAGTGTCTATTGACGATTTATTATTTCAACCATAATTTTAAAACAAGCAATTTTTTTATTTTTCTGGTATTCGACTACAGTAAGTATAAACAAACATTTATTTGGATATTTTTCAATTTGTTATTTCTATAATTTCTATAATTTAAAAAATTACATTTCCGTATTGCAAATTTGTATCTTACTTTTTGCTTTTGAAAATTTTAATAAAATGAATAAATTATTATCACTGTAAAATTAAAATCAAATATAAAATTTAATAAAAATTGAAATTTTATTTTGCATTTTTTTCTTGCATATTTTGACTTTTTTCTGGGCATTTTTACATGCATATTTTATAATTGAAAATGTATATAAATCCGATCTTTAATTATAATGATATTTTAGAAATTATTTTTATTCAAAAATACATATTATAAATAATTAATTTGATTTAATTTATTTTTAGTAACTTTTTGAGTTATTTATTAAACAAATTTGATCATTTTTGGTTCAGTATTTCGTCAAGTGACTCCTTTTTAAAATTTTTTTTTGTAATTTATAGGTGAGAACAACGATTTTATTAAAAAAAAAAATCAACTGATCATGCATTTCTAATTTTAAAAGAGTTCTGAATAATGCTGATTAGTATAATATTTTTACAGTTCAAAGTTAACTATTAAATAGTAAAGAAAAATTTCTAAATTGTAGAGATTTATTTTTCATCTAATAACCCACCTCTAACACATATTTGCCTTAGCCACAATACTTATTAATAGAGTTCAGATTTTATAGCATTTGCTACTTATTATAAGATAAAGATAAAGATACCAGAGTGAGCTATTCATTTGTGTTACTAACTAGGGACTTCAAATTAGAAATTTAATTTTGCTATTTTTTGCTAATATACATGATTTTATGCTTTATTTTGTATTTTTCATAATACTCGTTAATATTGAACGAAAAATAATATTCATATATAGTATACATTTTCGTTTCATATTGATAATTGATAAATAATATGGTATTTACTATTTAACATGTTACTAGAATCTATTTATAAGTAGCCTGGCAATATCAAATATATTTATACAATTATGCCCTCTTATCTGTTTTGTTTATTTTTATTTTATTTTTATTCTATAATATATTGTCGTTTATCGTACGTATTTCATGCTTTCAGTGTCAGTTTTCCGTATGGTTTGATTTCGTTTCATATTCGTTTATTACTTGATCGTGTATTATTTGTTTTCCTGTATCGATACGTAAATTCCGAAAGTTGAAACATTAAACTATTCGACACTTAGATAATTTGTGTCTGAGTTTGGTGGCAATGATGTTTTTACAATTGACGCAAGTATTTTATTTTGCAAATTGTGTGAATGTAAAGTTAATAGTGACAAAAAGTTTAACGTTACTCAACACTTAAAAACAAAGAAACAGTTACGTACAAACGATGTCATCATTTAAGGTAAAACAGCTATACATAAAACAAGACGTACCACGTATAAGTTTTTTCATATTGTTAACAGAAGATGATCATTTTAGTTTTTTTTATTAATGTATTACCTCATAAAATAATATAATACATTTAATACAATTTTGGCTTACATTTTATTTATTTTTTTTTTGTTGCTATTTTTGTTGTTTTTAGGGCATATTTATAGAGCATATTTTAAGGTTTTTTCGGTCATATAGCCCATGTTTCAGTATTTTCGGTGCTATTAAATCCGAACCCTGCTTATTAATATAACACTAATCTCACTATAATAATAAACATAACAAATAAAAACATAGTTAATTAGTTAAATGTATTTTTATAGTAATTAGTCTAAGATTTACGAAGCATAAAATTAAACGCTTTTCTATAAATTATGTCTTATATTTTGTTATAATGCTATATTATGAAGTTATAAAATAATTGTTTAGTTATTATTATTACAAAATGGACCGTGGCTCAAAGCACAGATATATTAAATATAATTTATACATTTTAAATAGCTGAATAAGCAATACAAATCTATATCTTACTTGTGTAAGATAAAAATTGAACTTACCGAGCTAATTA